ATTTCTTCCATTTGATCAATATCAAGGTTGTATCTTCCGTCTCCATACTTGCCATTTTTTGAATTTTATTACACCAGAAATTTTGGTCATTTTCTCTGAAGAGATATTCTAAACGTCCAGCCTTGGATGCGAGACTTGCCAGATCTTCTACGTTATGTGCAGTAAGTGTCTCTCTTAACCGTGCATGCATATTGCGGACCACTAAATTGGTCATCTCCTTCTCATTAATTATTGTGGGACATCGCCCTTTCATCAAACGCACTCTTTCGATAAACTACGCAGCTGATTCTTCTGGAACTTGCTTCATTTCCAACAAATCGGTAAGAAAGACTGTTGGTAAAGGGTTGAAGAATCTAGCATGGAACGTCATCTCCAAACCTTCCCAAGTTTGTATTTGTCCCGGTGGTAAATTGACAAACCACAAAAAAGTTGTCCTAGTAAGAGACAAACCAAACAGTTGCAATTTATAGAAAAGATTATTACTGATCTCTTCTAATTGTGCCGTGAAACGACCCACATGTTCTATGGTGGAAGATCCATTTTCTCCTGAGAAGGCATGAAAATCGGGTGGTCGATAATTCCTTGAGAGAGAGTAATCATTAATGATCCTTTCTGGAAAAGGTCTTTGATAAGCGGGGCGGTTAACCACATGAGGATTCATGCCGAAATGAACCCTCAAGACATGCGCAATTTCTTCAGGATCCAGATGGGGTGTTGATGATCAGGAATATGAATAGGATCATGTATATGTCCTCCTTGCCTATCTTCCCTCATGATGTTCGGTTGTGTATTATCGACTCTTGGCCCCAAAGGAACATTATTGGGGAAAGTTAGAGAGGTCTTTCCTCTATCTGCTCAATTGGGAGCAGTGGCACTAGGAATTGTGCTATCAACATATGACGGCCCTGCAAATGTTGGTCCCGGAAAAGTTGCCTAAAAACGAGAGGGTGACAATGCTGGGGGCGTGCTTGAATGCAATGTGACCCTGGACAACGCCTGATCCAGCATGTTCTGCATTAAATTCTGTTGATCATGCAACATTATTTGTATGGTAGTCATCTGTTGATTGATCATTTGCTGAATATAAGTCAACCATTCAGGCTGTACTTGAGATGTCCCTCATGTGGTAGGAACAACTGTAATTGGATTTGACGTTACCGCAGAAACTCCGACACCGGTGGTGTTGGTTTGAGATTGGGTGTCTGCCATAGTATTTCTACTAATAATCCGCCCGGAACGCAAATGTATGAAGTCTTTGTTGAAGGTAAGATTAGCTATCTTGCTCTCACTCCCACTATGGTCGCCAATTTGTTGAATGGTTTTTCCAACAATACAAAGTAAAATCCAAAAATATTATCGAACTTGAATAAATAATTTTTTATGTAGAACAAAGCAGTAAATACATGAAAATAAAAGGTGACCCCCAACAGGAAATTCGCAATTAATTCTTGTCTGATTGAAGATCTCTTTTTACTGATCCCCTGAATGATTAATAATTCCCAAGAAAACGTCTCGAAACGTCACCTAGTCAGTTCCCCCAACTGCCATCAACTGCCCCAAGCGTTAACCTGGTCGGTTACCGCAACTGCCATCAACCGCCCCAAGCATTAATCTCCTACTGACGCATGCCTTAACCGTCCCACTAACCGCTTATGTTAGTTATTGAATTCAACTGCTCAGCCGACCACTCCCGTCGGTTAACTTCCATCACTGTCCTGTCTTCTTAAGACGGGCGGCTGACCAACCGACCGCCTTGCCTCCGAACCATCCACCCAGAGAAACCTTTTGCCACCTGATGGGCCCAATGACGGGCCTACTTTTCTTCTTATTTTGGATCATCACCCTAATTATAAATTTTATACTCAATAAATCTATTATAATTTTAAAACAAAAATATCAAACTTTCACTAATTAATAATTATTTTTTATTCTATTATTAAATTTTACTATTGAAACAGTATAATTTGTTTTAACTCCGCTTTCTTTCATTTCCTCCCATGTAAGAAAAATTTGAACCAAATGTGTTTTTTAATTTGCTTTAGAAAATTTTTATTTAAATTTAATATATCATTAAAATAATATTTTCTCATTTTTACTAGAGTTACTGTAAACACAACACAGTTACCGTAAACACGTAAATTTTTAATAATTATAATTAATAAATAATAAAAAAATATATTAATGAGAATTATTATTTTATAATATATATAATTATAAATTAAAATTAAAATAATTAATTAATTTAATTAAAATTTAAAATTTAAAATAAAATTAAGCGTGAAATTATTTTTTAAAAAAAATTACATAAAATGTCAAAAACGTTAATATGAATAAGGACTTAGAGAGTAATATTTAATATTTTAAAAATTAAATAGGAAAAAAATTATTTTTGGTCTCAATATAATCAAAATTCATCAATTTTGGTCCCAATATAAAAATTTTATCAATTTTGGTCCTAATATAACCAAAATTCATAATTTTTTGTCTCAATATAACCAAAACTCATTATTTTTTGTCTCAATATAAAATTTTTATCAATTGTAGCCCCAATATAACCAAAACTCCTCAGTTTTTGTTCCAATATAATCAAACCTTATCTTTTTGGTCCCACCGTCAACGAACCGACGGAAAATGGTGCAAGATTGTGCAATTTCTTCAAATATAAATATAAGGTTTAATTTCTTTTCACGTCAGCATTTTCCGTCGGATTGTTGATGGTGTAGAACCAAAAAAGATAAGGTTTGATTATATTGAAACCAAAAAAGATAAGGTTTGATTATATTTGGACAAAAAATGATGAGTTTTTGTTATATTTAGACTAAAATTGATAAAAAAAAAAAAAATTATATTAAGAAAAAAAATGATGAGTTTTGGTTATGTTGAGACCAAAATTGATAAGATTTTTATATTAAAACCAAAATTGATAAATTTTGGTTATATTGGGACCAAAAATAATTTTTTTCCCACTTAAATAATACTAACTCAGTCTAGATGTTGATATAGTACAAATTAAGAAAAAATTGTAAAAATGCTTATGTTTTATAATACTAATAAAAAGATAATTGTAAAAAATATATATATAAGTATAAAAATACTTTTAATGTTAAAAAAAAAAAGAGTAAAAATCAATATTAGTCCCAGTCAAACCTATTTTTTTTTAATTTTTGGTCTCATTCAAAAATAATTATCAAAATTAGTTCCATATAAAAAAGAAAATATTATTTTTGATCCCACCATTAAAATTTCAACGGAATATGCTGATGTGAACTTAACAGAAGTTGACGTGACATATAATCTGGAACAATCACGATCATGTTAACTATAACACGGATGTGTTATTTTAATAAAAAAATTTATTGTCATATTTATACAAATGCGGGCGTGTTCCATTTAAACACGCCCTTGCTCAATATCAAAATGAGATAATTATGATGTGGTGAAATTGGATTTGATAAAATATATATCATGTCCAGTCATTCATGGTATTTGATAAGATACATATATTTATACATTGTTATTTATTTTAATTTATTTTACATAATAATATTAATATATATTTTTTATTTTATACTATTATGTATAAAAAAAAAAATTCTATAAAATGATATTTTCTCCGTTCTACATAATTTATTGTTATTTTTTTATTTTTGTCTGTCTCACATGAATTAATATATATAATATTAATTATTTTTATATTACCTATATATTTATCTATATCTCAGGTAAAAAAAAATTATATTTTCAAACACTTTTACAAAACAAATACACCCTAATTTTTAAAATACTTTTAACTGATTTTTTTTTTTTGTCTTCTATACATAATTTTAAAAAAATTGATAGAAAATAATATACTTCCTCCGTCTCACATAATTTGTCCATATTTTCCGTCCCACATAATTTATTATTTTTTTGGAAATATGATTATACACTTTAATTATATTTTATATTTTATATTTTATAATTTTCTTAATCTTAATTAAACTATTTAATTATCTTAATTTTAATTTAAAATTATGTTTACTAATAAATTTTTTAATTATTTATTAATTATATTTTATCTAAATTCTTGTATCTACAAGCTCAAATGAGCATAGAAAGAAATAAATAAATAAATTATAAGTAAAAGAATATTAAATATTAGAAAATAAGTCAAAAGTATTTTAAAAATTAATTCTTTATAAAATATAACTAATATAGTACTGCCTCATTCCTATGTAATTTGGATGTATTACGGTAAATACGAGAATTTAAGTAAAATATAATTATTAAGTAATTAAGAAATGTATTAGTAAAAATAATTGTAAATTAATATTAAGATAACTAAATAATTTAATTAAAATTAAAAAATTAAAAAAATTAATATTAAAAATACAATTAGAGTGTGTAATTATATTTTTAAAAATAAAAATGACAAATTATGTGGGACGAACGAAAATAAAAAATAACAACTTATGTAGAATGGAAAAAGTATTATTTTATAGAATTTTTTATATATATAATAGTATAAAATAAAATAAAAATATTAATATTATTATGTAAAATAAATTAAAATAAATAACAATGAATAAATATACTCCCTCATATAAATGTGTGCTCATTTGATCGGGCACGAGTTTTAATAAAAGTGAGTAATAATTGTTACTTTTTATTTTTATAGTAAAATAAAAGTACAAAAATTTAATAATTTTTTACTTAAAAAAAAATGAGAATATTTTTCAATGACAAAGAATAGTGAGCACATAACCGTGTTTGTTCCAGATTATATATCACGTTAGCTTTCCTTTAGTCCACGTCAGCATATTCAGTTGAAATTTTAACGATGGACCAAAAATAATTTTTTATTTTACGAAACTAATTTTAGTAATTATTTTTTAATGGAAAAATAAAAAGAGAGAGAAGAATTTGATTGGGACTAATATTGATTTTTTTTTTTTTTTTTTTAAAAAAAGAACCGGTTAAATTTGGAAGACATGCGTGAAACACTGAAACCCGTTGCCCGGCCCTCCCTTTCCTTCCCCTCCTAAAACCTTCAAACCAAACAGACAATAGGGTTTATCCGTCTCTCGTCTTCTTCGTCCTTCCTCTGTCTTTTCCCGGAAATCGTTTTTCATCATCTCTTCTGTGAGACTGTGACTGGCTTCTTTGGCGTGTCCTCTAAGCCAGGGTAGCTTCGGCGTCCTCGTCTTATCGTTTTCTTCTTCCGCTCTTTCGTCGGAGGCTTTGTAAGTTTGATTCCTAAACTAATTTTGAATTATTTGGTGATCAATTTTTCAATGCCGATTTCTATGATATTTACGGGTTGAATCGTTTGGTGTTAGGGGTATGTAGGTAATTGTGTTGATTTTTAGACTGATCCGAATGGATGAAGTCTATTAGTGTAATAGTTGTTGGAATAGGTTTAGGTGTCTGATTAGTTCTAATCTTATGCAACAGTGGTACCGATTACAATATTGTTGTAATTGTCGAATTTTCTCGTCTCGGGAGCCAGGTGTTGTGTTATCTGACAAGATTTTCAATTTTTCAAGAACTCGTTGATGCCTGCTTTCAACATTCAATATACCTAGCACGTAACGCTACGTGCGCACAGGCTATTTGTTCTGCTTTGTTTGAGATCCTTGATTCAGAACATTTTATATTTTATTCTGGTTTAGCGATTATGCCTTTGTGCATAACAGTTCTTGTGTTGTTTGAGATGATGGTGTTTCTCTGACAATTAATTAACCTCTTATCAGTGGAGTTGAATTCATCAAAGTATGGAAGTTTCCGCTTCTACATCATCTTACCAGCCTTTGGCAGGATTTGTGGAGGACAAAAAGGATCCACTCATTGATCTAGATTTGACAGACTCAACTGAGCTATGGCTTATCCAGTGGCCCATTAATGAGGTATGCTTGGGGAGGATGCTATCCTTTTTATCTGAATGCTTTCGTTCACAAAAACTTGTGTTTTTTCAATACTTCTTTTCTTCATATTTATCGTAGTGCTGTATATGTCCTGTTGAACTGATTGTACAGATCTTGATTTTTTGTGTTTTGGTTTTATACACACACATTTGGCTTTTTTAATCTCACCTATCAATCATATGTTACACAGCCTCCTGATTTTGATGGGCACCAGGTGTCCCTCAACCTTAAAATGGATGGACATGTCGGCACCTTTGAGGGGTCTTCAGGTAATTTACGATGAGCCCTGTTGTGTCTAGTTGTATCTAGTCAGCAATAGCATCTGCTCAAATTCATTTTATTGTTTGAATAATGTGACAGGAAAATCATATGAACTGGTTAGTTTAAAATCCCAAGGTCCTGAGGTTACAGTATTCTTGTCTTCAGCATCAGAGGCAAAAATTGGTATGTTGTCTTGATTTGATACTTGTATTGTATTGTAGCTCACTTTACTGATATTCAATATTTATTAGTTGTGTTTAAGCTGCTAGAAATTGCTATTTTCGGCTGAAATCTTTGATCAGAAAAATTTTGAACCACATAAATCAGCTGTAAACAGGAGAAACTTTAACTTCTTTAACTCGGAATCCCTATGTAGTTGCCACATCCTTGCTGGCCTTTTGTGGGAAAATATTTTTTCGCTCGTGGCTTTGAACTTTTCCTACCCCTAATGCAACTTCCCATCAGATGTTTGGTTGAATTCTGAGGCATTTAAGAATTAAGACTACCAGACAGTGACAAGTTAATTGTTGTTATGTTCATCACACCACCATAATGTTTGTATGATTTCAACCATTGCGCCATCTTGCTTGAGTTCTATTACCAAGACTTGCATGGCGGGCCAAGTTTCTTATCTTAGCCAATTCATGTTTTGTCATTATGGTTTTGAAATCAATGTTCTTATCATCTTCTTTAACACATGATTTTCTAATGTTATTTAATATTGAGCCTACGGTACACCTATTCTTTGTTGCATCGTCTTGATAAGTTGTGTGATACTTTCTCAACTCTCATTCTTGCTAGCAAATAAATGATTTCTAATTTATCTGAATAAGGCTCCGTTTATATTATATAGGTTTTTGGAGTTTTAAAAATTTTTAAAAATAATAGAAAATTGAGTATTCGACATGATGTTACGGGAGATAAATAATTATTTGATGTGACTTTCAATCATATAAATAGGTATTTGGTATGACTTTTTATCAAAATTTCTGGAAACTTTGGCACTATTAAATTTTTTAAAAAATGACATCAAATATTTGTTTTGTTCACAAAACTATTATATCAAATACTAATATTTTATTATTCTAAAATTTTCAAAACTCCGAAAAGTCACGGATCCTAAGTCTTTGCAAGCTAGATATCATTCTTGTATTGATAATTGGACATAATTGGTCACATATTAATTCCTTTTTCACATGATACCAGCTGGGAAGATCTCCAGGCGGATCTCATTGGTTCATTACCCGGAGCCAAGTGAACTTCAACAAGGCAAGACCCAAAGCCACGCTCAGCGATCTTCCATGGCTACATCAACCATTTCTGGTCGCAGTCTGCATGCTCCTGCTCGAAGCATTAGGCCTAAAGACTCCAAAGCAGGGAACCAATTTGCTACTCCAAGTGGTAGAACAAAGAGTACTATTTCGGGATCTGTAGAGCCCTCCAAGAGGAAACAAAAGCTAAATAAGCAGAGACTATCCACGAATTGCTCGACCCATGATTCGGAGAAAGTAAATAGCGGCCTTACGGATACCTTATTGTTGGAGCATTCGGAGAAAAGAAAATCAAAGAAGGCAAAGAAGAGCGCCAGTTAAAACCGTACACGTACAAAAGAAATAGATTCTAACTTGTTTGGCCTTTTGTTATGATTTTTGTAATTTTTTAAATTCTTCAAGTTTCGTTCTAGTAACGTTACTAGATAGTGATGAATTGAAATAGGGATTTGTTGATATTTTGAGAGGAAAAAGAAAAAGGAAAAGGAAAATGTGTGGATGCATAGTGAAGTTAAGATAGAGGATTGATAACATACTCAGCAAACTTGATTCTGCAAAAACAACAAATACATTGATACTTATGTAAGTGTTCTCTAATAATTCTGTTGGCACTGTGTGTTTATTGGATTTTATTGTATTCTTAAAATTTTGGTGTATTTAATCTAAATTTTATAAGTTTTTTAAAATTTGGGTGTATTTTATCTAGGTCTTTTAAAATTCGAGTGTATTTAATTCAGTCCTTAAAAATTTTAGTGTATTCAACCATTTGTGTATTTTAAAAATCTATGAATTTTGTTGGATTCTTTAATAAAATTGTTAACAAATAATATTGTATATAATCTCTGGTTATGAGCTGATGCATTCTCAAAATTAGTAAAAATATACATATATTATTACTTTTATATCATTAATAAATATTTATTACTCCTATTTTATATGTATTTATTATTTTATTATAATAATATCAAGAAGATAAGAAAAATTTTAATGTTTAATATAAATATTACAAATATTATAAAGTTTTATATATTTAAAATAATATTAAAAATTATATATATTTAAAATAATAAAATAGACTTGCTCAAATGATTTGAATCAAAACTATCAGTTTTGATTTTAAGAAATGTCTAAACGAAATTAAATATTAGTATTTCATAATTTTAATCTATATTTTTTTATTTTGATTTCAGCTCAGTTGGTTTCAGTTCAAAACATCAATTTTAGTTGCCACTGTTAGTTTATATTTATTGTTTTTAAAATTCTTATATTTTAAATTTCAACTAATAAAAATTGTGATTTTAATGTGATTTTATTTAGAGATATGATTTTTTGTAAGAGTATAAAAAACTATATAAATAATAATAATAATAACAATTAAATAAATTGTTACAAAATAAAAATTAATTATGCTGAATATATATAATATAATAAATCCGATCAAAATAATAATATAACAAAAAAATATAAATTTATAAGTTACTATTATTATTAAAATAAAAAATAAAATAATAATAACAAATATATTTTTTTGAGAACTAATGTACTTTTAATATTTTTGTTAAATATTTAAAAAAAAAATTAAATATATACAAGTGTACTCTATATGTTTAAAATTACATAAATTAATAAAAAAATATTTAATTCACAAATTTATAAACTCTAATGAAATCCAAGGAAATCAATAAATAATTCAATCAAATATATTAACATTCATATAAATCAAACCCCGACCCCCCAGTCACCTGCCACACATGGTTCGCCTAGTATGATTTGTCTGTCGAACCTAGTTTGCAGGGTATTAGATTCGGCCGGAGTTTACCCAAGTGCGCATTTTCGGGTAGCTACTGCAGATTCCCACATCATTAAAATAAATAAAATTAATTCTATAAAATTTCTAAATCTACTCAAGCAGATTTTTTAAAATTGAAACAAATCCATTAAAATCCTAATTGAAATAATTATTTGATGCTATATAAATAGATATTAATTGTCTTTGTCGTTAAGATTTATACTCCCTCCATCCAATTAGAAAGTATACATATTTCTATATTGGGACGTCCAATTACAAAGTAAACATTTCATTAAATACCTCACTTTTTTTCCAACAGATACCCTTACTTTACATCACATCGTACTTTTACACCAAAAAACTAAAGGCAAAAATCTCATTTTACTACTTTTAACTACCCACTATAATTAAAATACTATTATTTCTTAAATACCGCGCAAAAAGTAAATGTTTACTTTGTGTGTGGACGGAGGGAGTATATTATTTCTTCTTTTTTTTTCGAAAGATATTTATTACTTCATCCGTCCATTAAAATTAGCTCATTTGGGTTTGGCACGAGAATTAAGAAAAATGAATATTTTATTGAAAAAGTGATAAGTAGTTAAGGGTATTTTTGAAAATTTAGTTAAAAAATAAAGTAAATGAAGAGATAATGTACTCCCTCCGTCCTACGTAATTTGTGTCTATTTTCTATTTTCGTTAGTCCCACATAATTTGTCATTTTCTTTTTTGAAAAATTAATTATACACTTTAATCATATTTTAAAATTTAAATTTCAATTTTTTTTTTTAATCTTAATTAAACTATTTACTTATCTTAATCTTAATCTATAATTATTTTTACTAATACATTTCTTAATTACTTACTAATTATACTTTACCTAAATTTTCGTATCTACAGTAATACACTCATATTACATGGGACGGAGGGAGTAATAAAGTTAGTGGTATTTGTTGTAAATAAGTGTTGAATGAAGGGTAATAATTAAATGTTAATTTGTTGACTTTGCCAAAATTAGTAATGAGATAAATTTAATGAACGGACTAAAAAAGAAAGTGGGAATAAATTTGGCATACTGAAAACATATAATACTTCCGATTTAAATATTATTTCTTTTTTCGAAATATATTTATTATAATACTTCCATTATTGACTATAATATTTCGATAATTGACTAAATTAATTTATTTTATTGTCAAAATTATCATAACTCTCTCTCTATATATATAAAATTTATATTGATATCTTCAATTTTTAAACATATTTTGTATTAATAGTTTATATTTATTATGCAAAATCTAACATATATGTGTATTATATATTTATTTTATTAGCATATTATTTTTTGTCAAAATATATACTCCATCAGTCCGCCTCTAACAATTTTAATATTCTCTCCCCTCCCCTCGTCTCCTCTCTTCCATTAAAATCCCACTCCTCCCCTACCTTTATTTGAACCAAACAGACCCTAAGGGTCACAATTACCTTCTGTGTTCATATCCTTATATTTGTATAATTTTTTTTTTATAAATATCATTTTATTAATATTTTTGTAATTTTTTTTTAATTTGTATTATATTTTGATATAATAAATAATATTCAAATATCAAGTAATAATATTTAATGCCTACAAAATATTTTTTCAAAATTTGTTTAATCCAATCCAAAAAAATTTGAAAACGTGAATAAATTTTGAAATTAAATATTTTAATTTTTTTAATATTATTTTTTTTTTCCCTTGAATTCTTTTGACTTTTTTTTCCACCAAATTTGGCATTTTCTTGCCATGATTTTTTTACAATATTTTTGGCATATGTTTTTAACCTGTTGCATATATATACACACACAAGTACGTATCATATTTATTTATTTATTTTCTTTATTTTCTCTTTTTATTTCCATATTTTTTCTTATTTTTTCTTTCACACTTTTCTTTATTTCCTTTTTTATTTTCTTTTTTATTGTTTTTTTCCTTTATACATATATTTTTTTTTCTATATAACTCAAATTTTGGACACTATATAAACACTCTACTATGGGAGATTTTTTTTTTGTCATTCTCAAAATTTTATAGCTTCGACTTCTTCTATTTTTATGTAGGTTTCTTTCTTCTTTTATTTTTTTTATTCAATTGTTTTTATTTTTTTATCATGTTGATTCTTGATTCTTGTATTTTTTATAGGTAAAATAACATTTTTCAAAGATTTTTTTTTTCTTTTGATAATATTAAGTTGCGATTATTTGAGTATGAGGCCAACCGATAACTCATTTACTGGTCCACTCACTCCTCATAAGACGTGCAATCATTTGCTATCGCTTGGAGGTTTAGAATTTTTCAAAGACATGGTCATGAGATATTGTTGGAGGAAAACATTTTTTTGTAATTTTTATACTATCAACATATGTCAAATGATACTTTTTGCTTTTCAACTTTGGGGTGTTGGATTTTAGAGGGAGAGGGCACTTGGAATGGTTTTCCTTTATTTGATGAAAATTTCTCTTATGTAGGTGGCTATTAGGAATAGGCAAGAGGACATGTTAGATCGATGCGAACGTTCATTAAAGAAATGATTTATTTATGATACGGTTTATGATAGTTTTTTTTGTACGACTATTCTCCAAAGATCGTCAAAGTTGTTTGCGATGTATGGTGTTTCAGTACCAACAATCTCTTGACCCTGCCGGTGAAACGTTGATCTCTCTTCGTGATTTAGTGTCTTATCGTCAAGAAAGTGTTGATACTGGAACACCACACTTCACAAACAGCTTTGACGATCTCCGAAGAACAATCGTACGAAAACAAATAAACATAAACCGCGTCATAAGCATCATTTCCTTAAAAGAATGTTCACATCGACCCACTATGTCCTCTGCCCATTCTCAATAACTGGCTACATAGAAAAAATTGTCATCAATTTAGGGAATACTATCTTAAGTGCACGCCCTCTCTACGATCCGGCACATTGAGGTTGGAAAGTAGAGAGTGTCGTTCGATAATATTGATGGAGTGAGGATTGCAAATTATACTTTCCTCCAGCAACGTCTCGAGACCATGTCTTCGAAAACTTCAAACGAGAGTGAGTAACTACACATCCTATTAGGACAGTTGGACCAGTAAACATATTGTCTTGTTCACGACCCTTGTACTAAAAAATCACCAACTCAGCCTTAGTGGAGGGGATAAGACATTCTTAAAGAAAGTCATTTACTTTTTTTTTTTTTTTTAAAAAAGAAAAATAAGAGTCAAAATGATAGAAAAAACAAAAAAAATTGAATAAAAATATAAAATAAGAAATCTACACAAAAATGGGAGAAATTAAACTACAAAATTTTAAGAATGACAAAAAGATTTTTCCATAATGAAGTGGTTTATAAAGTGTCCAAAATTTGAGCCAAAAATATAAGTATAAAGAAAGAAGAAAGGAAGGAAATAAAAAAAAGGGAAATAAAAAAAAGAAGAAAATAAAAAATAAAAGGAAATAAAAATTAAGAAAAAGAAAATAAAAAAAGAAAATAAGAATGATTCATATGTATATAAGATAGGTCGGGGATGACCTGGTGTGCGGGGTTAGACGAGTGGAGTTACCAAAAATTATTCATGTGCTAAAATACTTTTTGTATTTGTTGAATTTGGGCCAATAATATTAGTTTAAACAAATTTAGAAGAATATAATTACTAAGGACACTATGGAAATAGATGGAGTTCATATCAATTATATAAAAATTCATATAAATGAATGAATAAACTTATAAATTTATTAAAATTACTAAATAAATATTCTCTCATTTTTTTACTACTTTCATCATCATATTTACAATATATTTTTTTTTTTTCACATTATAGTAAAACATAATTATTCAATATAATTAAAATATTTTAGTCTTTTTCTAAATTAGAGATCCAATTAGTTTTATACATAATATATATATATATATATATAGATTTTTTTAATTTATAAATTTTTGGAAGTAAGAAAAATCAATAAAAGCGGAATTGAATACTGCCCGCCCTGAACCAGGCTCATGATTTTGGTGCGGGTTTAGGATCAGAAATTGCCACTTGACCAAAACTAAGTAGAGTTCGGGTCTAGGGCTCTGTCTACGGAGCATCTCTGCAATGGCGACCGATTCAGAAGCTAAGCTCGAGCTTTTCCTTCAGTGGCTTAAGGTGCGTTAACTATTTCTAACTTATTTCATTGCGAATTGTGGCTGTAGCGGTTGTTTTTCCGAACATTGAAAATGGAGTTTGAAATCAGGTGAATGGAGCAGAACTACGTGGTTGTGATATCAAGTACTGTGATTCCAGTAAAGGATTTGGTATTTTTTCATCTGGTGACTCCCCCAGTGGTATGAGTTATACGCTTACGTGTGTAGATTTTACCTAAAAAGAAATTTGAGTAACTCAGCATGTGTAGATTTTACCTAAAAAGAAATTTGAGCATCGTCTGTGAACAATCGACAGGAGCATTTAGGGAAAATGCAAAAAATCATCTACGCAACAATGACTTATTAAAATTAGATAAGATGTAGTTTTAATCAAATCATCAATTATTTAGAATTCCATGCATAGTTTTTAGTGTTTGTAATGTTAGATGTTCTTTTAGTTGAAAGTCACATTGATGATGTAAAAATAATTTACTTATTTCTGAAGTGGAACTGAATGACCTATGTTAATAAATCACCATGTAGGTTTGAGAGTTTGGGTTTGGGTTTGGAAATAGTAAAAATATAAATCAAAACAGGTTTTTAATCTTATTTAAATAGGTGTTTGATGTGATATTTTAAATGAAATTTTGTTTAGTTTTAAATATATAGAATGTCTGATGTTTTTTAAGGTGAAAATGATGAATAGTACAGTGAAAAACCTACATCAAAACACACCCACAGACAGGTGCTGGTGTTACTGGTTTTTCTACTGTTAATTATAAAATTCAATTTTCCTTTTGGCTAGTAGCTTGCCTGGACTACTCTTTGTTTAATTTAAGTTGATCATTTTGGCAAAATATATTTAGGGATTTTGCTGACGGTACCACTTAACCTGGCAATAACTCCAATGAGTGTACTTCAAGACCCGGTAATAGGACCTGAATTTAGGTCACTGCTTGCCAAACAGGAAGAGGATGATAGACTTTTGATAATGATATTTCTAACAGTGGAACGTCTACGGAAGAATTCTACGTGGAGGCCGTATGTACAAATTATAGTTTTTTTCATCACTGTGAATTAAAAAAATTGTTTATAAACCAGGCATGGTTTCTTATTGCAATGTTTTGGTTTAATTTAATATATATATATATATATATGTAATGCTGAAAGAATCATCTCCCCCACTCTCTTAGGTATCTAGATATGCTGCCTACTGAATTTGGAAACCCATTATGGTTCACTGATGATGAGCTCCTAGAATTAAAGGGAACTACACTGCATCGGGCCACTGAACTACAGGTGAAGTATTTTATGCTTGATATTGTCCTAACACTTAGGTTTGGTTGTTCAAATATGTGAAATTTCTTTTTCAATTGTTGACAGGTTTTAAAATTATAAACTCTTCCTCAGAAAATCCTTGAGAAAATTTTCAGTGTCTGTCAATTGTCCTGAATGCTATATGTGCTCAGTTGTTTTTTATGTTGAAATATTTACTGTTTAGCATATGTGACTGAGGACAGGTTTCTGTTGACAGAAGATTAAGTTGAAGTCTCTGTTTGATGACAAAGTGAAGAAAGTGGCTGAAAAACTTTTGTCTCTTGACGGAAATCCAGAATGGTAAGCTCTGGCTGTAGATCTAATCTTCAATTTCCCAGTGTCTGACTTTGTAACATTACTTGCTCTTCACTTGTTATAGGTTTTAGGCATTTACAATTATTTTTTCTCAAAAGATACCAACTGAATTAAAGAAAAGTTCTGTTGATAAGGATAGTTAGATAACTTAAACCTTTAGCATATATTATATATGCAGTCAAAAGAAGTGAATTTGGCAGCTGAATATGACCGACACATTTGCTACCCTTATTTTTTTCACCAGTAATATGGATAAAGGTTGCCTCGATACGAATTCATCTACTGTCACGGTAATGTTTTGATAAAAAAAAAAAAAAAGCATACTATCTTGCATCATTAATCGATGAAAATATCTTTGTACCTTCAGCTAGGTATTATAACACATAATCTTTTGACCTCACTTCACATGTTGGTTTTGGCAGCGAAGTGAGATTTGAAGACTTCCTTTGGTATGGTTCAAGCTGATTCCTTCTATATACTTGATATGTGTTCTTTTAGTTATTATGCTGCATGTTTTAAGGTTTAAGTAGATTGTTGATAGTGGATAGTGGGCACACTTACAGGGCAAATTCCATATTTTGGACTCGAGCACTGAATATCCCTTTTCCACAATCGTATGTGTTCCCAAGCAGTCAACCTGAGCAAGACAGTACAGATATCAGTCTCCTTGATTCATCTACCCATCATATTTCTGCAGAGAAGTTGGTCAGCAATGAAACTGGAAAATGTGAGGTTGCTCGCCATAAGTTCAGTTATATCTATTAAAATTTTCATTTGCAACTTGCTTTTCATTCTTAAACCATGTGGAATACTGTCATACTGTGGTAATTAGCTCTCGAGATAAATGACTCTGCGAAGCAAGTTTCTGGAGTTGAATTAACTCCTCAAGGAGAGGTCATCTGGGTTGAGGGTCTTGTGCCTGGCATTGATTTTTGCAATCATGGTAATCATTTTTATTTATTTATTTTTTTTCCTGGATGTGCTGGTCAAGAGTTTGTTTAAATATTTTTACCCTCTTTCTTCTGGAGTCAATGCTAATAAATATATTTCAAGTTTTAATTTGTTAAATGGAAAATGCTAGTTTGTTTCTTTGCAAATCTAGTAGACTCTTCATCATGGTATTAGACCATAACTGCTGAAATTATTGTTACTTAAAATTTATAAATATCGTGGGTGCATTTACTTGTGCTTTGATTCTGTTTTGGTATTGAATATTGAGGTGAAAATGGGTGTTGTATATGATATATATTTTTTTATTTTTTAAATGAAAAATAAGTGTTGGACGTGATGTTTTGAAGGAAAAATGGAAAAACATTATATATTGAACTGTGCTATAAAGTATCACAAAAAACACAGCCTGTCCTTTGGTTCCTTTTTTCTTTCAAATTTCTGAAGTTCTATGTTTTATGCTTGTAGGAAGATTACATTCTAGAAGGCCTTGATTTATAGTACTCCCTCCGTCCCAGAAAATATGGGACTATTATCTTAGATACGGGAATTTAAGTAAAGTATAATTAGTAAATAATTAAGAAATATATTAGTAAAAATAATTATTATTTAGTAAAAATAATTATAGATTAAGATTAAGATAAGTAAATAATTTAATTAAAATTAAGAAAATTAAAAAATTTAAAATTTAAAATGTGATTAAAGTGCATAATTATATTTTCAAAAATAGAAAGGACAACTTATGTGGGACGGACGAAAATAGAAAATAGGGACAAATTATGTGGGACGGAGGGAGTAACTTTTTAACCATCTTGGGAGTGTTTGATAACATAGTTATCCATTTATAACCAATTTGAATCCAACAAGTCAAGGCACCAATTTTGGTTAACTCATCTTTATGTTTTCATCTTTGTTCTTATGTTATGCTTTTTGTGTGAAGCCTGGAAAGCTGCAGCAACTTGGGAAATTGATGAAAGTGGATCAATTACTGGAATCCCATATTCTATGTACCTTCTTTCTGGTAGGATTGTCCTCTTATGTAATTCATTCATCCATCCTTTTTCTTTTAATTTATTTCCTGGTTTGGAAGTAATTTCTAGACTTGGTTCAATTAGAAGTGAAATGCATTAATTCAAGGATGTTTGAAAACTTTTGCTAGCACAAAGGATTAATTTTTATTAAGTTGCTTTATACAAAGAGTTTGCTTGGGAGTTGTTTTATCAAACAATCATACAACAATTAGCTTTATTTACTTGTTCATTTTTTTTAGTTTATTTACTATGCAATTCTCATGATTCTTGTAGAGATATAATATTTTCTCTCACAAATCATTATATGCAACCCACTATTTAAATGAAAAATAAAAATTAAATAAATAAATAAATAAAAATCACTTGGTAAACACACCATGAAATATTTCTTATAATAATTTTTTTGCTTGTATACCTTCTATAAAAGAGACCATGGTTATTAATATTATGAACAAGATGACTGCAAACATTTCCCTTGAAATGCCAAGATGTTAACATAAGACCTTCAATTCATCAGCTGGAAGCATTCCTAGCGGTGAAGAAATATCAATCAGTTATGGCGACAAGGGGAATGAGGTATTTCAATTTTTTAGGATTTTATGCAAACCTTTTTTCACGTGCTTAGTTAGCTGCTCAGAAGAAGATGGCGACCTTTTTTCTTCACTTAATGGGAATGAACCTATCTATGCATTCACTCCCCTGTGCTAGTAGTGTATAAATACTGGAAGTATACTAGTTCATTAATTTCTTACAGTGCTTGACGTGTGAATTTTACATTATTTTGATATGAACAATAATTGAAATCTCTACTCTTGGTTGCTAGGATCTTCAAGAAACCAGATTGTAAGTGAAAAACATATGGTTTGGTTGCTTTTGATTCGACGATGATAAATAAGAATGACTTGTTTTTTTCTGCTACTTTATTTTGTTACTATGCAATTCATAAGTTTCTCACAAATATATCACATTATAAATTTTTTAACTATGCATAAAATTTTTCATAAAAACTCAAATAACCCTTTGGATCCGGTTTTGAATATTTATAAATATTCCCCCCAAACATTTAATCAAATACATTTTTCAATTTTTTATATTACACTATAAATTAATTTTTTATTAAAAACATCACATCAAACAACTATTTCAATTCAAAACCCAACTCTCAAATCTACAACTAAACACAATTGATCTCAGTTACCTTGTGTATGAAAATGCATGTAGACATGTAGCATAAAGTTGTGGAAAAAAGCATTTTGGAGTTTTATTAATAGTTGTTGAACTTGCTGAAATGATTCTATTCCACTGTAGTAGTTTAGAATGTTTTCTCTATTTCTGTACAAATTTCTTTAATTCGCTGTCCTGCAAATATGTGACTTTCATAATTAATCAATTATGTGCATAGGGCACAGTATATTTGTGGTCTTATCATTTGGGATCCTTAATTGAAAATGCAAATGAGAAGCTTCCTATAATCCTTCTCTGATTTTCCATAATTAACTGGAATTTGCTGCAGGAACTTCTATACCTGTATGGATTTGTTGTGAAGGACAACCCAGATGACTATCTTATGGTATGCTAATTCATTCCCAGCTTTTGCAGTTATTTTGTAGCAAACATCTTCATCTCTACCTTATTGGGTTTCTTTTACGTCAGATTCATTATCCTCTAGAAGCTCTTTCTGATATGCCTTTTTCGGAAAGCAAAATGCAGCTTCTTGAAGTGCAGGTCAGCAATTGGTTGTACAGTGAACATATTTGTAAGTGCTTCACAAGCATGGTTATGTCACTTCATGCTGTTGTTATACAGAAAGGTGAGCTGAGGTGTCTCTTGCCAAGAAGTTTGCTAAAGAGTGGGTTTTTCTCCGAAAGTGCCTTGTCAGAAGAATCTGCTACTAACAAGGAAACTTCTCACCAGATGCATAATTATAGTTGGAGTGGATGCCGCAAGATACCCTCATATATTGATAAACTTGTTTTCCCAGAAGAGCATGTAACCGCCTTGAGAACAATTTCCATGAAAGAAGACGAGCTTTACAAGGTTACTTCGTTACTTGAGGAGGTTAGCTTTCTCATCTATAGTTCTTTCTTATAATTCATGCTTTTTGCCCCAAGTTGTAAGCATTTCTATTTGAGCTCTTTCTCATTGTTATAGCTAGTTGGAACTGGAGGAGAGAGGCAGCCATCAGAAGCTGAAGTTCGAGCAGCTGTATGGGAAGCCTGTGGGGATTCCGGTGCTTTGCAAGTACTTGTTGATCTTCTTAATCTGAAGTAATGTCTGCCAAAATTTTATCCAATTTTCTCAATCTATATAATTACCCATTTTTTACTTAATAACATATATATACATATTTATAAACTGAACATGTTTTGTCCTGCTGTTGAAACCTTTTTAATGTTTTGAACTCATGGTACTTAATATTCTAAAAAGATGGTGTTTACACATAGCTTTTCTAAATCAACTACTATAACCGAAAAAAAAAAAAAAAAAAAATCATTCATATAGTTGTAGCATTTCTATATGCCATGTAACTCTAGTCCATTATGTATTCTTTCGCTACATTAGACTTGGCCTTTTGGTTTGTGCATCATATATATATTTTGACTAGTAGATCTTGTTGTTACATGACATGCGAATGACCAGCATGGAACTCTCATTTAATCATCCTTCCAACTTAAAACATATTTATGTAATTGGCTAGGCAGTTTTTATGTGAAGTTTTTAGATGCAACACTGTCATTGTTTGGTGATATGTTAAAGTAGAGTTCTCACTTTCAATTTCTTCCACCTTGTTTTGGGGTGCTTGCTAAAGGTTGACAGAGTTGGAAGAGGGTTCCGGGACTGAGGAGAGTGATGCTGAATTACTCCAGAATCCACACATGGAACTTCCGGGCAGTGAAGAGAGGTATCATATCGAAATAGAGATGAATTATGTTACTTCCCTTCTAGTGATCTCATAAACTTGATTCTACAATCTCACTTGTAGATTTAGTTGTGTCCCAACCATTGTGCCAATATGCTCTTGTGCAATGTTAGCATATCAGTTCCCACATAGAAAGACTTGGCTGACTTGGATCACTTGCATTTGTGCCTTTGTGTCAATTCTCAGGCATTTGAAATCATCCAATTTTCTGCATTACATAAGAGTCTAGACCTCATGTTTAAATTAAAAAGAACATTGCTTTCCTGACTCACCTTGCAATTTGCTGTCCTTTGTGCCTTTGTCAGCAACGGCATGGCATCCCCTCCCCATCTGATGAGTAGAAGAAAATGGGCAAGCATAACATATCGGCAAGGGCAGAAGGAACTGACTCGACGTTTCTTAATGGAGGCGGAGCATGCATTGCAGTCGGCGCTGACAGAAGGGAACTAGCGACCGCTGGAACTGGACATGAACATATTCTTCAATATATTCTGCAGAGGTATTGGTTTCATTACCCTTAATTCGTTTCAAGCATGCATTTGCTATCTTTGATTGGACGATAAAGGAACATATACAATTTTCGAAATAGAGGGTCCTATGTTTCAAACGAGGAGTCATATAGGCACTTCAATATTGATTGGTTCTTTGAAGAACCTCCCCATAGATATATTTTCAGAGGCAGAATTCTACAAAATTCATAAATAACTGCAATTCAATTTAATAACACTAGTAAGGTACTACTGTTAGTCTTGCCTGTGCAAATAACTGCTTCATTCTAAGCCAGCAACATTCCTTAGTGTCCACCCGATGCCGTAAGCTGCTGCCCCAGCTATGGCCCCGTTAAGAAGTGTTGTACCCACCGAGACCATGTAATTTTGCCCTGCGATTTTGGCTTTGGCTATCCCTAAAATGGTTAGGGCGATGGCAGAGAGCGTACAGGCTCCAATGAACTTGATCATGTTACTGTCTGTGATCGGGATGAGGATGATGAACGACAGAATTGGAGCACACCCAAATGCCAGAAAAGATGCAAATGTAACAAGGCCGTTCTTCCAGGGCTTGTCGTTCTGGTCAGGAGGTGACATTCCCTTCTCGGCTGCCATTTTCTCATCCACCAGGATCTCGGGATATTTGGAAAACACGGTGACAACCTGTCCATTGGGTGTAACAGTAACACAGAGTGAGACCTTGAATTTGCAAGAGTATTTATTATAATGTGAGTATCATCAGCTTTGTCTATGTGCGAATTCTTATATAGAGCCTATTATGCTAGCCAAGCTACTTGGAAACTTGACTCACTAAGGCTCAGGCTTTGGCTCGAAGATCTTAAGAATAATAACTTGAGTTTTAGCTTGAAAAATTATTGAATTGAATAGAATAGAATCCATTTAGGGTCCAATAAAGTACCCCCTTTGTTCTAAATATGACAACAACATTTGGTTCATTCTACTTAGGGTCCAATAAAGTACTCCATTTGTTCTAAATATGGCACAACATTAGGTTTATTGTATGGGAATTTAGATGAGTAAAATTATATAGGATAATAATGTGATGAGATAAATATGATGTATATTTATTAGAAATTAAATATAGTTAATTATTTTTCATTTCAGAAATACAGTGTTTGATACAAACCAAACGAGGGTAATAATAAATCAATGTTACTGATATAACTGCAGTATTGTAATGAACAATAAACGATAGACAACACATAAATTATATTAATATAATAGAAATACATTATATAGATTAATAGCTTAATAGCATGGTGCTATGGATGTAAGCACATTATATATGTTTATATAGCATATTTATATAAATATGACACAATATTTTCATATAATAAAGCACATCTATGTAAATGTATATTTTCTACATATACGTAAATTGGGAGTAGGAGACCAAATTTTAAGACCGCACCCCATAGAAGTAGATTTAGGATTTAGGGTTTTGTACTCGATCTGAACCTTTGTTGGGTAGGTATCAAACTCCCTTAATTACACTTTGAATTTTGGAATAATCTGAATCTTTATTGGGAAGGTATCAAGCTCCCTTAATTACACTTTGAATTTTGCTTGATATTAATTTACTAATTAATACATCCACCCTTTATCAATTTCCAATATTGTCATTATGCTTAGGTGATTGTGATCTCCAAAAGTCGCAATGGTTAAATTGCACAGTTTCATAAAATTGTGCAAAATCTTTTATATTTTTAAAACTGCTTAAAATTTTATTGTGATTTTATAAATTTTGTATCTAATTCCATCGGCGGCAACTAACTGCCAATAAATATTAGAATTTTAATTTTTAAACCCCTAAAATTAAAAATATATTTATAAATAAAGTGAAATTTATTAACAATTACTCGTTCAGCAAGAAAAATAAATATATATAATTTTAGTGATTTAAAAATTAAGATTTTAAAATTTATTCAGAAGAGGAGCATTCAAATCAAATTTAAGAATAACCGGAAAGCATAGTTTATGAAACGAGAGTTTAATCCATATTTAGAAGCACTAGAGATTTGATTTAGAGATTTGATTTGACCGCAATTTGATGAAATCGGAGGTACCGGTAGATTTTGTGCCATTTAGCCAAATTTATTTTTTTGCTATTATTGGTGGATAAAGAAGAGCAGGAAGAAACCCTAAACTGAATTCGCTGCGTACCGTGGCTGCATCCATGGCGGTCATCCCTTGTGCGCGATACCGCTGGACCAATTCGTGATGCTCAATCCTTCCGTGGTTCCCAACATCCCATTCCGTGATGGATCTTTCCTTGGCGGCGACATCCTTCTCCGTGCTGCTCGCCACAAAATCCCCAAATCCCATGGAGATCCCGTCCGCCACCAGGTTAGCGATTCCCAGCACCAAAACATCCACTGCATGCGCTTAGCCACAGATTAATCAATAATCAATCGTGGAATCAAATATCGATCAGTCGTCAGTCGGTGGAACTAACCGGAGGACAGGCGGGCGGCGGAGATGGAAGAAATGAGCGAGAAGGAGGTGATAATGGCGTCCATGCCTGCCAACACTAGGCTCTTCACAAATTCCCCTTTCCATGGCTCCTTAGGCCTCCGATTCGGCTGCAGCAAAGGTACGCCGCAGTTTTCTCTATGACTATCACCCATCCTCCGATCTCTGAAATTTCCGTAGCTAATCTACTACCAATCGATGAACTCACTCGCTGCAAAATTAATGGCATGGACCGTACAAGGGTATGACCGTACAGTCTGCTCTTCATAGTGGAACGAGCTGCAATGCAGCGCTGTCGCCCTCACCAGCAGACACGTTTCCGACAACTGTCTTCGATTTACTTATAAAATTAAAATACTCGCTCCTTCCAAGTTTATATTTTTTTATTTTTGTCAGGTTATCCATTTTTTAATTTAATAATTATTAACTTATTTAATATAATAAATACTTTTTAATATACAATATATTATATAATGTTATTATTTTTTATATTTCACCATATTAATCATATTTTTGTTTATTTTTATATTTTATCATATTAATAGTATTTTTATCTTTTTTATTATAATATAATATAATATTAATATTTAAAAATTTATTTCTAAAAAGCAAATATATATAAATATATTTTCATGAAATGGAGGTGGAAAGGTTAATGATCAAATCATCTATTTTTAATTTTCTCTACTGAGAGGGAATATTAATAAAATTTATATATTTTTTTTTAAAAGACAATTCAATTATTTATTATTTATTTTTTTAAAAAATATATTTAATAAAATTTTATTCATAATTTTACTATTTTAATTTTTATTATTCTCCATTTTATCATAAAAAAATATATTATTATATTTTAAAACTTATAATGTTCAAATACGGTTTAAATTTAATTTAATAATAAAATATTTTACGACTTTAAATTTAATTTTTTATATATTTCTAACATTTAAATTTAATATTTATAATATATTAATATAATATAGTATTTTATAAAAAAATATTAAAATTTATGAGTTAGATATTTCCTTCATTTATTAAAATATTTTCTTAAAAATAAAATTTATTTTTTACGTTACTTTTTCTATAAAAAAAATTATTATTTAAACATACAATATTATACTAAACAAAAATCAATATCAAATTCAAATAATTTTTTTTAAATATTATGTAAAAATTGAATCTAAATAATAAGTGTGATATATTAAGAAAAATAATAAATTTTACAAAAATATAATATAATAAAAATGAAAATAGAATATAATTTTTATTTTTTTATTTTTTTTAAAAATAATAATAGAAAAATAGATAATAACTTTTTCACTCTCATTCCAGCGGCAACCTTAAGGGAATTGGAGGAAAGAGATGTAATAGAGAAAATGAGAATAGGGAATTTGATGCGGAAAGGTTAAGTGAATTTTCTTGATGTTTAATTTTTTAAACTTATATGTTTGAGATTGGTCATAGGTTGAGGTACGGTGAGCTTGAGTATTAAATTAAAATTGAATTATTCTGACAAATCATTTTTAAGTCACCGCTACAGTAGAACTTGCAAAAATTGACTCGAGATGATAACTCGATACGAACTCGACATGTGATAATTGAGTTTGGATCAAAGATTTCAATCCGATTGTATATACATGTTGATACGAATCCGATATGATAATAAATTGGTCGGATTAGGATTCCAATTATAATATATTTATATTGATTAATATATTTATTATATATGTAAAATAATTATAATTTTAAAATTTTGTTCATAAATTAATTTAAAATATGTTAAATTTTAATTTTTAAATAATTCAACCTAATTTATTGTATACATTACGTTCAAACCAATAAAAGTTAACAAGGCAAGACAACATGACAAAAAATAATTTAATTTGAATCAAGAATTCGACTTAATTATGTATACGAGTCAACTCGAATCCAACACGATAAGAAACGTGTCAACACGAAAACAATACGATAATAAACAAGTTGAGTTAAAACTAAGTAATTTAACCCGTCTAAAATATTCAACCAGACACAAATCGCTTTTGGATATCTGCCCCTAATTTTTTATCATTCAGGTCACTTTCTGTCTATCAGGTTAGTAGAGATAGTATTTTTTTTTTTATATTAACAATAAAGAGACACATTCTAATTGTTTAATTAATTTTTATTATCATATAATATATATATATATATTATTTTTTAATTATATTTTTATTTTGCATTAATTAATAATTTATTATTTTTATATTATATTATTATTATTGGCTTATATTTTGATTTATTAAAAATTTATGGAAAAAATTATATTATTTATTATTTAATTAAATTAAATTTTAATTAATTTTTAATTTTAATATCAAATTATTTGTGTTTTGTATTTTATTATTATTGTTATTATTGGTTAATTGATAAAATAAAATATAGAAACAATAACCAAACTTTTTGAAGGGAACATTATATTACATTACGTTTCAAATAAAATAGAAATATTTAAAATTAAAATAATAACAAATAAATTTAATTATTCATCAAATCAAAATTTTGCCATATATTTTCAACTAAATCTGCTTTGTGTTGTTGATGTATTCATCTGTCCCGAAATCGCATTCTATTTATTAGAAATTCAATCATTCTGGTATGTCTATCTGCAAAATATGGCTGAATTGAATAGCTAAGATTATTTGTTCCCATTTGTTCGAATTAAAATACATCGTAATAATGGAGATATGTATTTCTCTTACCTTCAACGGTCTTATTATGTAAATAACACATGTCTTCGTTATCTTATCAATAAAATCAATATCATAAATGAGTGACGGACGTCGAATAATAGCAAATCAAGCTTGCAAAACACAAAAAACACGTTCTATACCCTTTTAAGTAGCTTCTTGACGCTGTGTAAATAATTGCATCTTAGGTTCTTGGGGCAAACAAATAGATTGGATAAATTTCGTCCATGGAGGATATATTCCATCGATACCCGATACTATACTGATGATCATTGACAATAAAATTTACTTTTGAACTTCTACCATTTAATAGGTTATTAAAAATCAGAAATTGATCAAATACATTAATATCATTGTATGTATTTGGTGCTCCAAAAAGGAAATGTCAAATCCATGAATTGTACGATGTTACGGCTTCTAATACGATAGTTGATTTGTCATGATCTTGGCCTTTCCAAACAGCTGGACAATTTTTCCACTCCCAGTGCATACAATCAATACTTCCCATCATTTCAGGAAAATCATGTTCTTTTACAACATATAAAAATCGTTGTAGATCTGTTGCATTTGAATTTCTTAAATATTCCTCACTAAATATTAAAATAACTCATTCAACAATTTTTTTACACACGTTTTTGTTATACTCTCTCCAATATGAATATAGTTATCTACAGTATCAATAGCTACATAAAAAACCAACACACGCAAAGCAGTCGTGCATTTTTGTAATGGCAATAAACCAAGTCTTCCCGTTGCATCTTGACATTGTTGGAAAAACTCACTTTCAGTTGTTAGACGGCCTACAATGCGCAGAAAGACATGCCTATTCATTCGAAATATACGACGAAATTGAAAATCTGTATTGACAGGATTTTCAATAAAATAAACGTTGAACAAAATATTATGGCATTCTTTGCGATTTCTCTCAATATATGTTCTTCGGCGTGATTGAAAGAAATAGTTTGAGATGAATTTAACATTTTTTTGTAAGAAAATTGTTTGTAACAAATATTTTTTAAAATAAAGTGTAGTATGGAGCTTTTGCCAATATATAGACCATTTATAGTTTACATTATATGAAATAAATAATACTCCCTCCGTCTCAGAAGAGACGTCTTATTGGGAATTGACACGATAATTAAGGAATAATAATATTTAATTGAAAGTGGGTATAAAGTAGAATATAAAAGAGTAGAATGCCTTTACTTTTTGAAGGATTTTAAAAAGTATGTTAGAGTAATAATTAGGGATAGTTTGGAAAAACATGAATAATTTTGTTATAAAGTGGAGACTGCGGTTACTAAATAAGGAAACATGACAATTGTTTTGGGATGGACGAAAATAGAAAAACAAGACAACTCTTTTGGGACGAAAATAGTATAATAATAATGATGTGAAATAATAATAATAATAATAATAATAATAATAAAATATATATAAAAATATGAAAATAAATAGTACAATAATAAAGTAATTGATAATAATTTAATGATACATAATAATAATAATAATAATAATAATAATAATAATAATAATAATAATAGTGATGCGATATAAAATACAAGTGTGTTTAAAGCTACCTAGTATAATAATAAATTATAATAAAGTATGATATGATCTAACAATGCAATTGTGTTCAAAGCTAACTATTATAATAATAAATAATAATGTGATATAACAATGCAAGTGTGTTTAAAATTACATAGCACAATAATAAACTATGATGTGATCTAACAATGCAAATGTCGTTCAAACTTAACTAGTACAATAATAAATTATGATGTGATCTAAGAATATAATTAATAAAGTTCAACATGACAACTTCAAATGATTGATCAATACTACAATGATTAAAAAAAATATTTTTTGATGTGATATAACAATGTGTTTTAAAAAGTTAAAACAAGACAAAATTAGATTTATTTGATTTAACTGGACATAATATATATAAATAATATAATAATATATAACTTATACAATGTGTAAGTTTTTCTATAATCTAGCGGGAAGGTCCGTACAACTCATGATACAATCAATGAAAAAAATTATTAGTTATTTCAAAATATATTATTATAAATTTCTTTATTAATATTATATTTATTTTCAAATATTTTAATAAATTTAATAATAACAATTTTTTTTTTATATAAAAATAGTAATAATTAATTTTTTAAAAAGAAAAACATTTTCATTTAAAATAAATTAAATAAATAATTTTACAAACTTCAAATGAAAATCCAATAATATAAATTATGATTTATTTTATATATTTGAAATAAAATATGTAATATAATTAAAATAATATAATATTAAAATAATAATTTAGTTTATTATAAATAATATCAATTAGAAAAATATATAAAAAGTTGGATGTGTTTAGAACTTTGATTACGATAATAGTAAGCTATTTATTTATATATAAAATTAGCTAGACCTATACTTCTAAATATGAATCTACAAATAGAAAGAAAAAAAAAAAATCAATGATTACGGATATATATGTTTGAAATATTCAATTTAGAAAACCATACTATACTTCTTTATGTAAATTACATGAAAATACTATTTATG